TTTGTTCTTTTGGGATCCTGTAGTTGTTACAATATAGTAACCGATAGTAAGTTGAGCTCATTCAGTCGAATTCTCAACGATTTTTGTTCGAATCTCAAGCTTTTGCAACTAGTTCTAACCAATACACCTGTAATGTAAGATGTGGCTGAAATATAATTATGTTGGCTTGACACCTGTGTACTTAGTTTTGAAATTGCACAGTGTGTATTGCAGCTCGACCTTGAGAAAAGTGTAATTTCTTTACAGTTTTTTTGCCTTTAAAAATGTTCAGTTAAAAGATATATAGAACAAAAAAGAAAGTGAAAGAATATTGACCAAATAGTAAGCTTCAAAACGATACCCACTTTACGGATGAAAACAGAAGAGGAGGAATTTGGGCATGAACAAATACAACAACAGGTTGATTTTTCAAGACCTAATTTTTTAAGGAGAAATCGGACACTATGACCTGTTACTGTAAATATACAAACATCGGGCATATGGACTGACATTTGTATAGTTGCACAAGAATCCCACTTTCTCTAGCGTCTTCATGATATAAGTCTGACTTGGAATGGGTTTCAGAAAGTCTGTTTGTGATGAAAAAACTTGATTATTTCTTTTTATGAAACTTTCGCAAAACAGCGGTTGAAAGTTGCAACATTGTTGGCGGCGCGAAAAAATGGAACGCGCTGCCTAGGTTCCATGGATCGAACGCAGGAGTTCGAAACCGATTGACTTCAAATTTGACGATTTTTGAATGGTCAGAACCTTGTATTAAATTCCTCTTTTTGTATATAATTGAATGTTATCATATCACTTATTATATTGCATGTGGTAGCCACATTCATACAGTTTCTCATACCAAGAAACGAATTTTATGACATTACGCGAAATGTATCAAAATGTAGCGGAAACTCAGGATGGTGTGTGTCAGTAGCTTTACAACTGGGCTAAATTTGACCACCGCGATGTGCGCATCGTCACAGTTTTTTTGGGGGCAAACCCGTTTGCCATAAAATTTGCCAGGGGTCATTGGTATCAATGTAAAGGTAAAGAAGTGGGCTATCACACTGTGGTATTAGCTAACGGGATCCAGTTAAATAGTAAAAAAGACAAGCACAAATAAAATGACCAAAAATTGCTAATTTTTGGAAGGCCGTAGCGCTCGCTGTGATTTTGCAATGCACGGAATATCTACATGGTTGTACTGGGCAAATCACGTAGATGTGAAAAAATGTAAACATTGTGTAGGTCTGAGGTATTTTTGTTACAATATAGGCAGTTGTTTACACCCATGCAACGGGGTCAAATCGTGACCCGGCAAACGCCGTATCTTAGAGAATAACGCGTTCTACGGTGACCTGCGGTTCGACTGCTCTCGTGCAAATCACTTGCAAAGCGCGCGCACAGGTCGCAGGTCAACATTAGCCAATCAGATGTGGTTTCTGAAATGACCGACAAGATACGTTTAACAACACTCATGATTGGTTCTTACCGTAGACAGGGCAACCAATCACAATTTAGCAACCACCTGCAGCTTGGTAACAGATGGTTGTGTATGGAGGATACCCGTAGGAGGGGAATGGAGTTTTCCATTATACCGTTATCGTTGTAAGTATAACGGACTTCTCTTTATCATCGCATCCATATCACGCTCCATTGAAAGATATAACGTTAACCCTCTTTTGTACTAGTATATATCGAACGCGCGCAAGATACGAAGCCAACGACAACATGAAATACCAGACAAAACACTCCACTATGTCAACAACATTATCAAGAGGATTCTAGAACTTTTCTAAGTTATGTTCACTGTTATCTGATCCACGATGGCTGATATGTAGGGTAACGTTATATATAGTTTGGCGACTAAAAATGCGGTCAACGTTATACACCTAAAGACAAGAATGAAGTAAGTAAAACAAAACACTGCACTGACCAATAGTTAATTTCTCTGTGGTTACAATGTATTTGGGCGAATTTTAGACACAAGCGAATGAACATCATTAAGAAAAAGAGACATCATTAGGAAAAGTTTGATAACTTTTGCCAAACAAGAACAAGGGCTTGTGTAACCGCTTTCAGTATCAAAGTTAACCAATTGCAAAATACTAAATGAATAAACACATGGTTGATGTAAGTCTCGAAATATTCAAAGAACCAGTGAAGTTTAGTTCTGTGTATAAACGTTTTGTCAAGTAAGGTTTACATGAGTACACCACATCAACTTCCCTTGAAACCCCTAAAAGAACCCTAAACAATTGCTTGCAAATGATGGTTCAATGACTGCGATAATTGCCTAGTGATAATCGTCTCTCGTCAAGGGAGCTTCGCTTAGAATTAGACCGACGCCTTGTCTGCTGCGTCAGGGAAATTTGGTTGTCTTTCTGCTTGTTCTGAAAGAAATTTTAAAAGACGGATCTACGTCTCAGTTACGGAGAATCCTTGTTTACTTTGACATACAATCCGTCGGAGTGTAATCGCAATCTCTTGTCACCATGCCGGTCTGTTACAGCGGAAACCGTTTCATGATCAGTTGGCCCCGGGTGCGCATGCCGAGGGTTTTCACGGCAGATTCTCCCCTCCAACCAGCCACGGATCCACTGCCACAAGAAGCATGTTTACCACACCCAGGTCTTCTGATTTACAGCTGGTAATAGATGATTTAGAGATGGAAACCGAGGCGGAAAGCACGTCCGCTGGTGAACTACAGGGGCGTAATTATAAAGACAACCGTGTGGCGCCGGCTGTTTTGGACAGTAGTAAAGACGCCGGTCAGTGGTTACCACAGAATGGACCTCTCTCGCCTGCCAAGACTTCGGCTGTGGCGTCGGACAACGGAGACCACCACAGTGGTGTCGAAAACGGCAGTGTTCCGAGCAACAGTGACGTACGGCATGATCACACACACAGGTGAGGACTGACATATTTACCTGCATGTATACATGTATATCAATGTAGATGACGCAATCAGTAATATGTTTAAACTATATATAGCCCGGTTAGATCACTGTACTCACTAGACAAGTCTGGACATCTAGACCGACTGCTTGGCCATAAATACAAACGTAACGCTTTTAGTTTAGCACTCTCCTCCTTAACTTAAGGAAAATACAAAAATGATTTCAATATTTGACTATCCTGTTTGCGTGTTTCCCAGGAGAAGAATGGACGGAGGGGAGTTACAGCGGGTGTCCAGCGTCATGTCCAATCAGGTGCCTGATGACAAGGCCATGGAAGATGACGTCAGGAACTTCCTCAAGGTTGAACAAATGTTTCGTGTTCGTGTCGGAAACACTGCTCTGTTTCCAAACAATAACGGTCACTGCGTGGCAGTTTCAATACCCCCATATATCCTAGCCTGCTCTCCTATCCCTATAGCTAGAAGGGGGTAGGGGGTGGGGGTTAATTAGATTGTGTAACATAGGCTACATGTATCCCTGGCTCATCAATGATGGATGAGCTTTTATCAATTCAGCAAAGGTAACGATAATTTATTACACCATTGTCTGTAAATCTCTCATCTCGGGTGCATCTTGAAAGAACATTCCACCAAGAGCACGACTAGTTTTGTCTTGAGTGTGCCGTCACCATGTATTGTGATGAATGTAGGAATATTTAAAAAATAATAATTTTCTTCTCCTCCTATTCTTATCATCACTGTCGTCAAATTTCAGACCCTTGCGAAGAACGGCCTGAGAGAGAAGGTGTTTTACGTGGCGGCGGTGTGTAGTCTGGTGGTGGTGGCGTTCGGCCTGCTCGCCTTAGGCCATGTTGATTTGATTATATGGATGACATCCGCGCGCGCATGAATTTTCGGCCGTTTCCAAAAAAAAAAGAAGTTTCCAACCACACTGTAAATTGTACAAAACAGTTGCAAAATGAACAAATATATACCGAAAGTTGAAAAAAAAAATATTTGAAAACGATTCCAACGTCGTAGCATGCCAAAATGAAACAAAAAACTAAAATGCAAAGAAATGAATTTAAAGAGTAGATTATTCGCCATACCATACTCTGTCATTTGTTCGACCTTCATAACAACGTAGATTTCATGAAAGCAACTTTTTTTGTCAAAACT